GTGATTTCTGCAACAACACTTCCAAAATCTTAGTCTCTGCTGTGTTTCCTTTTTTTTCCCTTCACCCAAAGTGAGACAACAGGATTAATGGAGCTGGTTCCTGCAGACAAACACTGAAGCTGAATTTACTCCTAGTGGTCTTACACCAATAGCAGGGTTGTGCCACTCTCATTCTGCCCACTCAAGCTGCTCACAACTTCAGCTGCTGTAGTCTTGAGGAAATCATGGCAAAAAAAAAAAAAAAAGAAAAAAAAGACTGAAACAATGACAAGTAAACTCCAGATCCACTTTTCATGTGGGTTTTTCTTTTAATGATTTAATTTACCATGCCCCTTGGCAGCACTGTAGGCTTTTGTACTGTTTTCCTATATGTGCTGAAAGCCCCTGTGGCCACACATTGCTCTGCTTTGGTATTGTCCTGACATTAGCAGATCTGGAAACTATGTTCCTGATATATTTGCTACTACACTGTTATATAATTTTGTAAGTCAATTTGAATATATAAAATTTGCTGACCCTTTTACAATTTTAAGTGTGCATAGGTATAGGGCTGCCATCATCACCAAAATATTTTGTGTGAATTATGGTCACTGTCAAGAAAAACAAGACCTCTTTTGATGTCTGTGGTCTCCAGGCTTGATGGAAATGCTTAAGCTTAGTAATTGCCTTTTGTACTATATATTCTCTGAAATAACTGTTGCATTCTCTTCACAGAAATTATTTTGTAGCTGGATGTGGGGTTTTGTTGGTTTTTTTTTTTCTGAGTAGTGGCAGAACATTATGGCACACAGTCCTCCTAGATGACCATTTTCTTAGAAAAGTACCCTCCTTATCATCCATATTAAATAGAAACTACCTAGAAAACTTCCAGGGTAACAACTTGGAGCCTTGAAGATTTTAAAGTATGTCTGGCAATTTTTCAGTGAAGTAACATACATTTATCATGGATGTCTGAGCTATTTCCTTTCAGAAAATAGCATTAGGAGTTGCAAATAAGCCTTTTTGACTAATGAACAGAACATGACATCATTGTTTTAACACACTTTCTTTCTTAATCAGCTAATTATATGGACATAATAAATGCCTCAGTTTACTCAGCCAGTCCAAAACAGACTCCCTATCTTAGACTATATCTTCATCCTGGTTATAAATGTAATATTTGGAGTATTAAGTGAGTAGACTAACATAGGGCAGTGTTGCTCTGGTTGAGGATTGCAGTCACAGACAGGAACCTAAGATATTTTTCAGATGTGACAGTGGCAGAAGACTGAACCTGATTGTCTTAAAAGCCTTCTTTAACCCTTTGACCTCTTGTTTTCTTAGCTTTGGTGAGAACTAGAGGTATGAATAAAACAGTTCTTCCTCTGTACCACGGAGGCATGTCTTTGTCTTTTCAGATGATTCTTATTAGAATGTGCTCCAGGGTTTGATGTGTGAGGAGAATAACAGTATGGACAACAAAATTCAGAACACAGCTTAAAACTCTGTGTGCAATTGTTGTCAGGATTTTTTTTCAATATGAAGGGACTCCTTGAGGCAGCCTTAGATGAGATAAAGATAGTAGAACACTTTTAGGAAAGAATTAATTTCCTGGATGAAGAGCACCTTTGCCCGAGGATGGAAAAGTCACCACAAAAAGAAAAAGAAAAAAACCCCCAAAAAATAATTCCTCTAGTGTCTAGGGCACTCTGCTAAGACATAGCAGAGAACTGATAGGAAAGTATGCAAATTACCAGGTTTATGCAGAGTAAAAACAAGATTAGAGTTCAAGGAAACCATGGATGTAGCCAGCTAGAAGTAGGACGCTGATGATTTGGGGAGGGTAGTTCAGCTGATAGAAGGATGTAATTCCGTTGGGTAGTAACAAAGGCTGCACAACAGGGGTCAGAGAGGGACCGTGTGGTTTCAAATAACAGTAAAACTTTTAAGGGGCTTCAGTCACATCAACTGCCTGTGTGTACAGCAAGGAGGAACTTGAATCAAGCTCTATTAGAGTTCAAGGAGCTTTAATATGTTTGAAGGATGCTCTGACACAAGCTTTTATGCAGTGCCCTGGAAATAAGAGGCTGAAATTGGGTCAAGAGAGCAATATTCTTCACAACACAGTATTTTAAATTACAAGATGCATTAGAAGGCCTGAGTGACCTCTTCTCTGCATAAGAGGTTCGGGAAAATAAACTGTGTGTTAATGCATGTTTTTCATGGAACATTTCTCTGCTGTATTTCTGTGGCAGAAAATTGTCAGATAGATAGCCTAGAGAGAAGCCATTTACATTAGTTTGGTTTTCAATTAATTCTGATTAAAGTGGGAAGTAGTAGGTGAATTCATTGACTCTGCTTATACCATAAATGTGATGTGGATACATATATTCTCTTTTAATGATACATGTTTTAATGTATCATTAAAAGAGAATATACGTATCCACACCCGCAGAATATATGTATCCACACCAGCAGCATATAGCTTAGTGACTTCATCTTGCTACATCAGAGAATTTTAAGAGTTGTCTGTACAATTTTCTGAAATACAATCCAGAGGTATATTTATTTTTAATAAATAAAATGCATTTATTTTATTTGGAAAATATTTATGATTTATTGTAATTTGGTTTTGGGGTAATACTGGACATTTTATGTACTCAGTAGTAGCTGACAAAGTTTTTGACTGTTGTTAAATAGCTTAAGGTAATAATTGTGGTTTAAATTTTCTATGACTACAGCTGTGAAGTGATGGCAAAGAAAATAGGATAGTAATAACTCTCATGGGTTTATTTCAATTGAAAGTCAGCAAAACAATAACGATTCTAACAATCTAAAACAAACAAACAAAACAACTTTCCTAGGAAACAACACCAAAACAAACAAACAAAACAACTTTCCTAGGAAACAACACCAAAACTTTAATTGGTTAAAATATATGGACACTTAGTCTTGGAAAACTTTTACAATGTTATCTGTACCTGGAGGATATTAACTTTTGTCATTTAACATTAATCAAGAGCATGCCAAAAGCCTTTGCTGAAATGTGAGTGAACTCTTTTCTAGAAAAACAGTTTGGAATTCTGGAAACCCTTCGTAATTGGATACAGGATTTACATATTTGTTTCTTTATTTTAACAAAGTACAATAAGCATCAACAACATTATAACTGTCCTGTATTGCTTCTTTGATTTTCACACATCTTCTTTCTGCATCTTCTCGATCGGGACAGTCTCTGGTTCCTTCTCTTTCCCCTTCTGCTCTTCCCTTGATCCCACAGCTTGTCTGCATGGAAGACCCGTGTTTGCTCAGAGAGTCGCAGCATGTGCCGGGCGGAGAGGGCCAGCGTCGATCGGGAGCATCGCGCCTCAGGCAGGGCGGCGGCGGGGCAGTAGCGAGCTGAGGTAGTACTTAGGGCTCCAGGCTAGGGGCTGGGCGCTGCGGTGCAGTTCATAACTCCTTATATACAGCCTGGCCCCTCCCACAGTCCGATCGTCCGGAGGACTCATTGGGTGGGCCGGAGGAGTTCATCCTAGCCACGGAGGCTCCCCCCGCCTCGAGGGGGGCTCGAAGGGGGTTGCTCGGGGAAGCCATCCTAGCGACAGAGCCTCCCTGACCTCTCCACCTCCTGCCGATCCACGGGCGCTCGTTCTCTCTGGGCACGTGTCACTGACAAGGCATGTGTGGCTATTCCAGAAATTGAACTCTTATATTTAATCTTAGTAAGCCACATTTTTAAGCAACAGTTCAGAATAAAATCTAAACAATTTAAGACATTTTCATTTTAGCATTAATCTTGCCCCTCAACTAGGGGAAGAACCTTTCCCTGATACCCCTGACAAAACTTTAGGCCATTGCTTCACGTCCTGTTGATGCCTTTTCCTGAGCCTCTGCACATCACAGAGAAGACATCACTGTCTCCCCCTCCTTTTTCCCTCAGGAGGAAGCGGCAGACTCCAATTAGATCTCCTCTCAGTCACCTCCAGACTAAGCAGACCTTCTTTGGACAGTCTCTAGTAGCTTTAGATCGTTTTTACATTGTGGTCTCCCAAACTGCCCCCAGCACTGGAGGTGAGGCCACCCCAGCCCAGAGCAGAGTGGGACAGTGCCCTTCCTTGCCCAGCTGGTGACGCTGTCCCTGATGCCCCCAGGACAGGGATGTCCCTCCTGGCTGCCAGGGCACTGTTGCTTCATCTTCAGCTTGCCACAGACCAGGATCTCCAGGTCGCATTCCACGGTGCTGCTCTCCAGCCTCCGATTCCCTATTTTCAGCTACATTGTTTGGCGGCTGAATAAAACCGGCATCTCAGGGAGGTGAACAGGGCAAGTAACTCTGAGCTAGGCTCATGCTGGCACCTCCAGATATGCATAGAGCTTTGGTTACATAATCTCAGTTGTATTTTGAGAACCTGGGACAGGTCCCAGACACAAAGGGACTCAAATGGATCTCTGGATTCTGTGACCGTGTCTGTGATATTAAAGTGCTCCCTTGCTCTCCCCTCTCAGTGGAGCACAGACAGTCATGGCACATGGAAGGGCCTGGGAACACCCAGCCCTGGCTGCTCCCAAGGAACAACCAGACCTTCAGAGCCCACCTCAACACAGGAGCCCAAAGCCAGGTGGGAACTGTGCCCTGCCCAGGCTCTTCCCAGAACTCTCCCAGGGAACCCACCACCCCGTGGCACGGCTGTGACACCCATTATAATAAAAACTCAAGGCTGGAGTGGCATTTGAACTGAGGGGGTTTCTGCCAAGAGGCATAGGATATGTTAGGGGAAGAACATTTTAGGATTGCAGAGGATTTATAACAGGCTGTTTTGGGAAATACCAAAGATAGGAGAGGAAAAGAATTTAGATGATTTGGGGAGTAACAAGTGAAGGAAAACAGAGATAAGATGACAGAAAGGGCTGTTTGTTTCTAAATAATTGCGTTTGTCTGCCTTTGCCATGTGCCCAGTTAGCAGAATCTAACCTATCTTCTTATCATATTAATTTCTAACTCTTTGTTTTTCCCTGGGTTTAGCGAGGAGCTCTGTCTTGGGTCCCAGAGGAGTCCCAGCTGCTGGAGAGATGTCAGGGTCTGGAGGTCTCCAGGGCAAAGGTAGGTGCTGTGTCTGTGTGAGACCACAATGTGTCTGAGACAGAGACAACACTGAGACAACGCTGTACCTCGGGTGCTCCTACATCGAGTGCCAGCAACTTGGGAGTCTGGGATCCAGGGACAGCTGCTGGATCTACATCCTCACTGTCCTGCTCAGCCAGAGGAGGGAGCAGGATGATGCTGTTTGTGCTGTGTTTATGAGTGCTCTGTGTGCCTGTGTCCACCGTGCAGCAGGCTCTGATTACCTGTGCATGTGTCCTGCATTTCTGTGCTCTGCATACATCTGTCTGAATTCTTGGTCATCTCCAGGTTGTTTTTTTGTGTCATTTAAAGACAGCTCAAGCCATGTCAAAGTAGAGAAATTTTGAAGCTCTTGATTTCTGCAGAAAGTGTCTGGCAACATGACAGATGGCAGTTTAAGTTAGTTACAGAGAGAGGGACTTAGCATTTAAAGGCACCTAGCAAACTGAGTTTACTATCCCACATTATCTAGTCTTTTAATAATGAAATTCACACTTCACACAGGCCAATAGATAAAATTTTATCTATTCATTTTAACAGAATATATGAATAGTGAATATGAATAGTGAATTTTTAATTATCTTTTTTTCCTATACTACCATTACTCTTTTTTCAATTATTTCTTTTATGCTCATTTTATTTCTGGCATTTGTTCTGTTTTGTTTTTTTCTTTGGCTTTAGGTTGATTGTGGTTTTGATTATTGTTTTTTTTCCCTTGTGCTGCTTAATGGAAGAAAAAATATCATTACTTATTCACTGATCTTCCACAATACTTTTGAATTTCTGGTTTTTGGTGTTTTTTTTTTCAGGAAGTAGAAGTTACTGTGGGACAAGATCCAGAATATTTGTGAGACTGGTTTCAGCTCAAGATTGGAAGTCATGAAAAAAATGCAATATCAGTACGGATCTTTTCCTTAGATCTAATCACATGTATAGAAGCATGTTTAAGAATGAGGTTTGCATTATTTTTGAGATAGTCTAAGCAACCAGAATAGGAGACCGTAAATATAGAATGTAATTTCACCTCCTGCATAAATCCTATTATCTTTAGGAGAAAGTAAAAAGAAGTGGGCAACTCATGCCACAAAGAAAATGTGCCATTTATGGCATAATGTTCCTTAAATTGCTAAAGCAGTACAGTCTATTTCTGTAAAACATTTATAGTAGTATTTAAGACATCCATAATGATTTTCAGAGTTTAATAATACACTGCAAAGAACATAAGAATGTCTCTTGCAGTGGCCAAGGGCAGCTACCTGTAGAAGAATATAACAAGTTAATCACAAATTAATTTCCACACATACACTCTCACCTTTAGATAATTTGCAGATAAATATTTTTATAGGATTGGATTAAATTAATGACTGGTTATGGATTTTTCTCCTATGAATTTGCCTACTCACTTTTCCAACCTGTGTAAAATAAGTGTCCACAAATTTGCCATATGCTGTAAGGAAAACCATCTCCTTTTGCTTGTTTTCTATCTGCCTTCTGTTACTTTTATATGATGCCCTCCTCAGCTCTGGTGCTGGAACACAGCGAACAGTTAATCCCCATTCAGTATCTCTGTGTACTTGGGCTTTATTGACATCTGTTACAGATCTCATTCAGTTGTCTCTCTCTTTTTTCAGACTGAAGACTTCTTACTTAGGAATCTTCACTGAAGAGTCTTCACATAGATATTTGTTGTGCAGAAGGAATAGTAGACATCTGGGCCACGTTCTTTGCTTTTCCCTCAGCCTTTTGCAGTTCTGTGTCCTCTCAGTCAGACCTACATAAAATATGCCAGTGCCTCTGCTTTGAGTAATGCTTCTAACTGTTGGGGAAAAAAAATGTAATTTATTTAGGTTACATCTGCTATATAGATAGATCACATATCTTGCCACATGTTTCAGATGTCTTAACATTTGGTACATTAGGTGAAACCAGGCCAACATCTGTGAGTATTAGATCTTGCTAGACTTTGATTGCTGATGTACAGAGAGTAGGGTTTGCTCGTTGACCACCTCTGTTCATCCAGAAGCTGCTCAGAGACCCTTTCCAGAGTGAGGGGTACTGGTTTTGTGCCACTGGTTACTCACAGACCATGGTAAAGTTTCTCTTGAAATTATGTCCCAAAAATATTTTAGTCAGTTCTTTATTCTATAGCTTGAAGAGAAAAGATGACAGATGGTGTTTTCTTTGCCTAACATGGAGGAGTTGTTTGTGCTGGCATAGGGTAAATGATATTTCATTATTTCTCAATGATTTTGTGTGGTTTTGAGTGAGAGCAGGAAAAAAAGGGGTGCTTCATGAGTTTCACTGCTCTCCATTAAAGTCTTCTTGCTCAGTCATACTGCAGCCATTTCAGTAAATTCCTGAGGAATTTTACTTTTTTTCCACTCCTGATGACAACAGTAGCATTATGCTTAAGGTTAAATATGATGTCCTGGTTTAACCCTGACTATTCATTTAGCTTTTACTCTGAAGATTAAATAATTCTGTTGTGACAGGAGTGCTTACTGTGGTCAGTGAAAGTTGTGGACAATATTGACACCAGTCTGAATAATACTAAACTGGTGCAACCTTCAAAACTGGGAGGGGGCATTGAGATGGGTAACCCAGTATGGCCAAAGGGATATTCTATACCATGGAAGGTCATGCCCAGTAGGTAAACTGGGGGAGCTGGCTGGCAGGAAACAATTGCTGCCTGGGCATCAGTCAATGTGTGGTGAGCAACTCTGTTGTGCATCACTCCCTTGTGTCTTAGTTCTCTTTCTCACCTCTCATTAGTATTGTATTACTATTGATTTTCTTTATTTCAGCTATTAATCTGTTCTTATCTCAGGCCATGTGTTTTTTGTGATTCACCTCCCAGTCTCACCAGGGGTGGGAGTGAGCCAGCAGCTGTGTGTATTTAGTTGCTGGCTGGGATTGAAGCAAAACACCTTATCATTTTTGGAGTTTACAAATAACAGTTGTTGACTTGCACAAATCACTGGATCTTGTATACACAGAGTATCCATGGATACACTGTAAATACAAGAAAGAATTTCTTATTACTGTGGATGCAAATTACAGAATCACAGAGTAAGCTGAGCTGGAAGGGGCCCCACAGGGATTATCAGGTCCAGCTCCCAGCCCTGTACAGCACCATTCCCAAGAATCACGCCATGAGACTGTTGTCCAAAAGCTCTTGAGCTCTGCCAGGCTTGGTGCTGCAATGGCTGCCCCAGGGAGCCTGTTCAGTGCCCAGACACCCTTGGAGGAAAGAACATTTTCCTGATGTCCGAGGTAAAGCTTCCTGGACATAAATTTAGGCCATTCCCTCCAGTCCTGTCACTGGTCACCCCAGAGCAGAGATCAGTGTCTGCTCCTCCTCTTCCCCTCACAAGGAAGTTGCAACCCCCAGTGAGGTCTCCCCTCAGTCCCCTCTTCTCCAGGCTGAACAGGTGAACTACCCTCAGCTGTTTCTCACATGGCTTCTCCTCAAGGCCCTTCATAATTTTCACTGCTCTCCTTCGGACACTCTCTAATAGTTTAATACGTTTCCTTTGTTGTGGTACCCCAAACTGCACACAATATCTAAGGTGGCTGCACTAGTGCAGGGCACAGCTGGACAATCACATTGACATAACATCTTCATGCCTTGGTTTAGTTGTCAGTAAGTCCTGAAGATTCACTCACCTTGAAGGTATACTTGTTTCAAGTTACTTCAACAACAGCTTTCTGCAGACAATAGCAGAAAGTTCCCAGATTATGAAAGGGTCAGAGAACCTGCACTGTGAGGGGCAACTAAAGGAGTTCAGTCTTTTCACTCTAGAGAAGAGAAAGCTTAGGGACCATGTTATTACAGTTTCTCATTTTTTAAAGGCTAGCTACAGAGAGGACAGAGCTTGTCTCTTCACAAGGATGAGACAAGGGACGATGAGTACAAGTTGCACCAGGAGGGATTTCAGCTTGTAAGGAAAAAAAGAAAATTTTCATGGTAAGAGCAATTTTCACTGGGACAGAGTCCAATTTACTGCAATATCTTTAATAAGCTGCATAATTAATTAAACAGCACATGGAATGGTTATTCTGAAATATTCAGAGATGGTAAACACACGCTCTTCAAAACATTTTTCTGCTTCTCTGTGTTCTTCTCCCCAATTCACTTGTTTATTGACCTGACCCTTTTCCAGGTAATAATCAATTTACTTGCCTACTCAATTACATGCTAAGACAGTGAAATCTTTCATGCATTTTCCCAGAAATGTGGTAAAAGGACCACTAGAAACCTAACCCTTCTTTCTCTACCTTTTATTTATTTATGTTCCCATTCTTTTGAGAGGTTTAAGTTCTTTTCACATGTGATTGTGACTCTGACAAACAGCAGTAATTACCTTGATATGTACTTTATAATGTTTCTTCCTAGCCTAAGTGTTTGCTATTTTCTAGGTTGAACTCCTCCAATGTGAAGAGGTCCTCACTGTAGTTTAGAAAACACTTGGCTCATCTTGATGCTACCTAATGGCTTTAAAAAGCACTAACATTCATTGAGTAATTTTCTCATGTCTGATTTTGACTGCTGGTGATTTGAGTCCACTTATATACAGAGTATGCAAACTGGCTTAACAGGAAACAACATATGACTATTTTGTTTTCTACATACTGTCAGTGAAGGTTGGTCTTTCAGACCATTAAAACACCATCCAAGAAAGGGCAGGACATCACAAGATCCTTATTGATTTCTTTTTTTCATGCATTTTTGTAAGAAGAACAGCAACTCTTGGTATTTTGTAGAGGTTTGGTAAGGGCTCTGTGCGTGTGTTTTCATATCCTCAGAACAAGATACTGTTTTACCTCTTTCATACAGTTCAAATGTGGCTCCCTTTGTACCAAATGCTTAGTTTTCACTCCCATCCTCACATTTAAAGGTAGCATAAATAGACTGAATATGTGTATTTCTTCATAAAGCACTTTGATGTTAACATCCGCAGGCTTGAACTTTGCATAGCAAGTCTCGTAGCCCCTAGTAAAAACCTTTGGATTTATTTGGGTTCCCATAGCTATGCCAAAGAAGAGATGCAAAACCCAGGAAAATATTCTTCATCTGAAAAAAAACCCAAACAAACAAACAAAAAAAAAAAAAAAAAAAAAAAAATACCCCAGAAAAACTTACTACATTGAAAAACCTAAGTTTGCTAATTACTATCTAGGTAACTCGTTCTTGAAGGGAGGCCCTGCATGGAATTTTTGGGAGAAAGACAAAGATGTGGTACTTGTAACACATTCTTTACTTATCAAGTTCTTATTCTTCAACAACCAAATTAACTACAGCTTTTAAATAGTGTTATCACCCCAACATTTCATCTGTTTTTTTCTAGTTTCTTACATTGCCATTTCACCATAATGGAAAGATTCATTTGCCATGAGCATAAGGATATAACAAGGTACTGGGAAAAAACTGTATGCAGCTCACCTGTGGTGGCAGCAGCACACAAGCCTGGTGTTCAAAGGCTCTTTGGTGCCTAAAGGGTGTCTGCATGGCAGTCATGTGTGACTACAGGCATATGGAGCTCTACCAAAATAGCAGAGGCCCAGTTTCTTTGATTCCAGTAAGAGATAAGAATAATTAGCCAGGTTTGGGTGCATGAAGCTTGCACAGGGCAAGGATAGCCAGCCCAGGCCAAAGCACTGGCAATGCTGGTGATGCAGGCTTTAAGTAGATTAAAGTTGGCAAAAATTTTCCTGTTCTTTGTGTTTTTACACTTCTGCTTTAGATTGTGGGCATATTCAATGCCCTGCATGTGTGTGTACAAATATATGCATGACCCCAGTGTCACTTGCAATATCCCCACTGCCAGGTTGACTGCCATTAATTTGGTAATGTCATAATAACTGCAGCACTGAAAATGATGGCAGGATTTATGGTAATTTTGATTCCTGTTTCATTATGCTGTGTCTTTAGATGGTTATTTATCTGTTCTTACTGCTTTCAGAAATTTTTGCACGTCATTATGCAAGCTGATAGTGGTTCTCTTAACTAAATTTAAAGTTTCCTATGTGGAGGTCTTAAAAAAAGTTTAAAAGGATCATTTACTTATTAACTAGTGTAAAAGGGAAAATACTGAAAGTAGACAGAATGTTCTGGAATGAACTGATGGATAAATGGAAAATCAAAAGACTAAAACTATTCATGGGTTACAGATGAAGTTTCCTGTACTCAATAGTATAAGAAAGCCAGGGATGATGGGGTAAGGAGATAAGCATTAAAATTCCTGATAGGAAGAAAATGAGGTCACCATTGTAGCAATAGAACTGGAGCCCTGGGGGAGGAAGGCAGGTGTGCAGACAGCAAGGTTGCTCCTGCTGGAGCCCTGATCTCCAAGGAAATTGTGCCCTGGGGATCTTGGGGACAAGCAATGCCAGGTGGACTGGAGCTCTGCAACATGGTGACAGTGAGTATCAGATCCACCCAATGTAGAATTCTCCTTCTACATTGATATTTTTCAGGGGACTAGAACTGTAACACAAAACGATTGCCACCCACTTCAGTGTGTGTCTTTCACTGCGAGTACAGAAATCCAGACAGAAGTCCTCCCACATCTACTCAGGACACAGGCTAACTGAGGTGGGGGTGATAGTACATCCTTCTGCTACTTTCTGCATGAATGGGTTTGTCATCCTTATCACTATAGGATTGACTAAATGTCTAGGCCATGAGATTCTACAGTGAGAGCATTTCCTGCTGTTCAACTCCTTTGGAGCAAAAATTGAAAAAGCCAGGAAAAAATTTAAGCTGAATGAAAATTCAATCTGCACTTGTGATTATGATATTTCAGTGAGAGTTCAGATGAGAGGGAACCTCTTTTTTCTCTCTGTGCTCCAAAGACTGCTCTCAATTGCTAGGCAATAGGAGCCTGTGATCACTTTGCACACAGCTGAGCCTGTAGGCCCAGCTCTGCCTGTGCCAGCCCAGTAGGAATGGAGACTGCTCTTCAGAGGAGAGTTTGTTGGTTAGACTGTGCTGCACAATAGCTGAGACCATGGCTCCTTTGGTCCTTTTTAAAGGAGGGTTTTATTTCTGGAATTGGGCTTGGCTTCCCACAGGCCTCAGAGCTGTTGACACCTTTGCAACCAGATGTTTGATGATAAATGTTTGAAGAACAGCAAAATGCAGACATTATATTAAATATCAAAACTAGTTGTTCACACGTCTTACTCTCAGGAGTTGCAATCAGAAATGACATTGGACCAGGTGACAACTTCGGTCCTAACCACACTCTTTTTCCTCTGCTATTCTAGGTCTTCTCAAAGAGACAGTTCTATAGGTAAAGAGTGAAAGAGCTTTTCTGGCATGATGTATGTGAGCAACACTTCGAGCTGTCTCATTGTAACTTGGCTTTCTTCCCTGGCTGTTCCTATATCAGATTTGTTCTTAATTTCACTTGGTAGAGACAGTGGAAGGCCTGTGCCATACATAATGAAATGCTTCTGCCAATGCCAGCAAGAATGTGAGCGTGCCGCCGTGAGCAGCGCCGAGGCCTTGAAGACACCATACCCACCTGTGCTGCTCCTGGTCTGCAGGTGGTGGCAGTGTGTTCAAACAGCTTCTCATGAACAGCAGAGGTAGCAGATACTGCCTCGAGTCAAAGCTTTTATTTTTCCTTTCAGCCCCCTCCAAAGACTCGTGTTTGACTGAGGGCAGTTCTAAGTCAGGATTTATCTAACAGGGAGGTCAAGATGGCAAGTAAGAAGGCAATTATAATAACAATGCAAAAGATAGCCAGAAAGCCATCAGATCATAAGTCGAATACATAATGTGTGCATTAGTCTTCCCTCTAATCTACTCACTGTGGAAAAGAATTATCCAGTGCCTTTTCTGAAAGAATTAGTGCAGAGACTAATTAGCTGTTGTAGTGCA